AGTAAGACTTGCTTGAGACCTCTGCTGTTTTTTTCTCAATGTACATTCTGTATTCTGGAAATTGCAAGAAGCACTATTTAATTCAATGTTTGTAACCGTCTGCAATTGTGATTTGGACTTCATTCACGGAAATTTGCCTTGACTTCAGGACCTCAAGTATCCGAAAGCTGTTTTTCTCATAATCTGCATGGAGTTCTGTGAGCGGTTCTCATTCCACGGAATGCGAAGTAAGTCGTAGGACCACACAGTCATCTACCGTAGTTTGCGTCCGGATAATTATAACAAAAAACGATTCATAACTTTCACTCCCGCAGTAATCCTATCCCTGTACATCAAGAACAAATTGAACTACAGCGATGATACCGCCACCATAATCTACCATGCCTTCATGATGCTCGCGTTCTTCTTCCCATTATTCGGTGCAATTCTAGCTGATTCGATACTTGGGAAATTCAAAACCATTCTGTACTTGAGTGTCGTCTATGCCGCGGGCCAACTCCTTCTCGCAGTCGGCGCTGTTCCAACTTTTGGGTTACCAGTCAGGTAAACCATTGTGTGAATTACGTGAATCTTCATCCCAATATCTATCCATCTATCTACCTATCTTTATTATATAGACTCCAGGTTAAAATCCCATCGGAGCCCGCTACGCAAACAAAAATACAACACCGTTACAATGCAAAACATATTATGATATCCTCATTCAAGTCTTCCTGTATGTATCACTGCACTTTCTTTTTTTATATACGACATCACACGCCGAACACCAAATTTGGTGAAAGGAATAGCAAAAACAATAAGCATCAAAGTTAACTAAACTTCTGCATTTCAAAAATAGTCTCTCCGTGCTGCCCTTTGCACACCAATATGTTAATATCGATAACTATTTGATAGACATTCAACCTGACCAATCACCTTTCAGAGAACTTACAATGATTGGATTGTTTCTAATTGCCACGGGTACGGGTGGAATAAAACCGTGCGTCTCAGCTTTGGGCGGAGACCAATTCATCCTTCCCGAACAGGAAAACTATTTCCGCACCTTTTTCCCAGTATTTTATTTCGCCATATGCAGCGGAGCTTTTTGTTCATCGGTTGTCACTCCCGAATTACGTAATGGCATAAAATGTTTTGAGGAACAGGAGTGCTATTCAATCGCCTTTTTTGTGCCTACAATTCTCATGGTTCTAACCATTGGTGAGTCCAAAATTGAAAGCACACATGTCACGTCAATCATTGAACGGACGTTTTTAATTAACTTACAGTGATATTTCTTGCTGGCAAACCGCTCTACAGGATAAAGAAACCTGCGCGAAATATTGTTCTAGATGTTGCCAAATGCATATGGGTGAGTTCAAAGAATTAGTCATTAGAATTGATCTTCATCGTAACGAAGGTAGTGATTTCTTATTTCTCTTCAAACAGCGCGCAATTCACAGAAAGTCAAAGGCAAATCAAGAAATCAAGCAAAAGCACTGGCTGGACTATGCCAACGACAAATACGATTCCAAATTCATCAACGATTTAAAAAAAACTTCGCGAACTCTGAAGCTGTTCATAGCTTTCCCTTTTTTCTGGGCTCTTTCATCGCAAGTAGGATCCCGTTGGACCTTCCAAGCTACAAGAATGAACGGGGAAATTGGCAGTTTCCTCCTGAAGGCTGATCAAATACAAGTAGTCGAACCAATCTTTGCCATCATTTTAGTTCCTGCACTCAGTACCTTCGTTTACCCGGTAATGGCAAAGATCAAATGCCTTCACACGCCATTGCAAAAATTAACAACCGGTGGAATTCTAGGTGCAGTTGCATTTATTTTTGCCGCGCTTGTGGAACTGCGATTAGAGGTACCAATACTCTTTCGAATGATCATTTTTCTTGAGATATCAATGAACATTTACCAACGAAATTGTCCTCTAGACGACGTATCCAGTTCTTCCAACCAACGGATCAGCACAGTTGCGAATTTTCAACCCTAGGGATTGCCAATTACCTGTTGTAATAGGTAATGAATCTATAGTGATGGAACCATTCGCTATGTGGGGAGGCAGTAATATCAATATCAAAGGCAATCAATCGATACCATACGTTGCTGATTTTTCATACTGCGGTGGAGATAAAAACGTAAATGGCTTCATTACGGCTGTAGAGGGACAGGCGACTTCATATGTACTGGAGTCAACATCTCCATACGCCTATAAGGACTACATTAACAAAACGAAGAGTGGGAATCCCGCAATTCGAGTGTTGACGTACAATGTCCGGAACCCGAACACCTCAACAAAGGTTGAATTATCAGGAGTGAATTACGTTTTTGAAAGTGCGTCAGATCTTGAACGAGTAACACCAGTCGGAGAATTCATCCCAGGAGAATACAATGTCAAAGTTAATGGGAAAGATGTTGGTTCAATATCCATAAAACTTGGTGGTGTTTATACTCTGCAAACATTTGTCGGTGCGAATATGACAAAAATAGGTCTCTCAATAGTGACTCCACCAAATTCGGTGCACATTCTGTGGCTTCTTCCTCAATATGTTGCTATGACCATGGCTGAAGTTATATTTTCCATCACTGGACTCGAATTTGCATTTACGCAAGCCCCAAGTACCATGAAATCCCTTCTCCAGGCTGCTTGGTTATTCGCCATAGCTGTTGGTAACTTCATCATCGTGATAGTTGCTAGGGCAGAACTGTTCAAGCGACAGGTAGGCGAAATTTGTCATTTATCAATTTCAATTTTATTATCGATTTTTATGAGTTTTCTTTAGGCATTGGAGTTTTTCTTCTTCGCTGGACTAACAACCCTCACGTTCTTGATATTTGCGGTACTGACTAAGTCATATGAATATGACAATGAATCCAATGAGGATAAAACGCCGGGAGATGAAGATAAGAAGGTACCACTGAATCAGAGAAATGACCAAGATGCAGATGTTCCACAGGATGAAGAGAATTTTGAATTGTTTAATAGCAGTCGTAGGGATTCGTATATATTAAGTGAAATAAAATTGTGAAATGCAGGAGAAGTATCGAGGGGAGCTCGAAAATTGAACTCCTATTTCAACATTAAAACGTTAACCGAGAGGTGCTACAAACGTTTCAACTCTTTTTATAGAACCAAATTTTAATATAATTTAGTCTTAATATTTATTCTTCCACTATACTTCTAAAAGTCGACCTTATATCAGAAATACAAAACTGGAGGTGAATGAATATTTTCAATTGTGATTAATTCGTGACGAATTAAATGACAACCTGAATTAAGACTACCTGAATTATTTAAAAAAATTTCACGATTCCATTAACATCAGATGCCTAACATGCGCTCCATAAGCCTAAATCAAACAACCGCCTATTGGTAAGCTGATGGAGTTGGTATCTGTGATCAAATAGTCATACATTTGATAATTAATTATCACTTCAAACGACTCTTGTTGAGATAATGTCACCTGAAGTATAATTTGACGTGTTAAAGATACCACTCATTGCAGCTGAATTGATGTTCGTTCGGGGTTTACGACGGTTTTGACATTTGCTAAATTACGGATTTTCTACAATGTCATGTGATAAACTTCCATCGACAGATACCTAACTCAGCTCAGTATTGACCTATCTCTGAATAAAACCGTAACAACCAAGGCTTTCGAGAGTGACAGTTTCCGTGTTAATGATAAAGGGATTAGGGACAAGATTTTACTATGACGAGTCTGTGGCACGGGTCGCTTACGTCAGTAGCATGACTACAAGTTACCGTACCTGACGCCCGGATGAGACCAGTCCACTTGAGTACTGTTGCATTAATCCCAGACGAGAATAGGGCTAGAAGCAGAAAAGCACAAAATGAAAGGGGTATGTTCTATTCTATTCGCATTTCATGCAATCACCAGCAGATGTATTTGAAAGATTATTAATAGGAAATGTAACATCGCTACGGACATGTAGCTAATGATCTGATCACTTCCTCATCAACTACACTGAGAGAAAAACGAATGAGACTGTTAAGAATTTTCGTCTGAATTTTCCGTGCCAAATTTCGGAGATTTTTATCGTGTTCAGGTTCCACTGAAATTTCAGGAAATGTTGTCATTGAAAAATCAAGTATTACGTTGATTTTCGGTTCACATGATCTGGAAATCAATAAAATACTTGATTTTTCAGTTCAATTATTCTCTGACAATTTAGAAAAATCGGGAAAATTTCAGAGAAAATTGAAAATTCATGTCGTTTTGTTTCTGAATATTCATGTTCCACTGAAGATTCAATCAAGTTGTGAAATTTCCATCTCACCACCACTGAAAACTCATGAATTTCCGTGAATTCTACTTTAAACACCAAATTTTTCTGAAAAGACAATCTTATTTTTGCAATAAAAATTTTCAATCCCGGCGCACGCTTCGCATGTTTGGCACAAAAAATCCTTTTTTGATCATTTTTAGCAAACGATTTTTGTGGCACAAGTAAGACTTGCTTGAGACCTCTGCTGTTTTTTTCTCAATGTACATTCTGTATTCTGGAAATTGCAAGAAGCACTATTTAATTCAATGTTTGTAACCGTCTGCAATTGTGATTTGGACTTCATTCACGGAAATTTGCCTTGACTTCAGGAACTCACGTATCCGAAAGCTGTTTTTCTCATAATCTGCATGGAGTTCTGTGAGCGGTTCTCATTCCACGGAATGCGAAGTAAGTCGTAGGACCACACAGTCATCTACCGTAGTTTGCGTCCGGATAATTATAACAAAAAACGATTCATAACTTTCACTCCCGCAGTAATCCTATCCCTGTACATCAAGAACAAATTGAACTACAGCGATGATACCGCCACCATAATCTACCATGCCTTCATGATGCTCGCGTTCTTCTTCCCATTATTCGGTGCAATTCTAGCTGATTCGATACTTGGGAAATTCAAAACCATTCTGTACTTGAGTGTCGTCTATGCCGCGGGCCAACTCCTTCTCGCAGTCGGCGCTGTTCCAACTTTTGGGTTACCAGTCAGGTAAACCATTGTGTGAATTACGTGAATCTTCATCCGAATATCTATCTATCTATCTACCTATCTTTATTATATAGACTCCAGGTTAAAATCCCATCGGAGCCTGCTACGCAACAAAAATACAACAATGCAAAACATATTATGATATCCTCATTCAAGTCTTCCTGTATGTATCACTGCACTTTCTTTTTTTATATACGACATCACACACCGAACACCAAATTTGGCGAAAGGAATAGCAAAAACAATAAGCAATAAGCAAGTTAACTAAACTTCTGCATTTCAAAAATAGTCTCTCCGTGCTGCCCTTTGCACACCAATATGTTAATATCGATAACTATTTGATAGACGTTCAACCTGATCAATCACCTTTCAGAGAACTTACAATGATTGGATTGTTTCTAATTGCCACGGGTACGGGTGGAATAAAACCGTGCGTCTCAGCTTTGGGCGGAGACCAATTCATCCTTCCCGAACAGGAAAACTATTTCCGCACCTTTTTCCCAGTATTTTATTTCGCCATATGCAGCGGAGCTTTCTGTTCATCGGTTGTCACTCCCGAATTACGTAATGGCATAAAATGTTTTGAGGAACAGGAGTGCTATTCAATCGCCTTTTTTGTGCCTACAATTCTCATGGTTCTAACCATTGGTGAGTCCAAAATTGAAAGCACACATGTCACGTCAATCATTGAACGGACGTTTTTAATTAACTTACAGTGATATTTCTTGCTGGCAAACCGCTCTACAGGATAAAGAAACCTGCGCGAAATATTGTTCTAGATGTTGCCAAATGCATATGGGTGAGTTCAAAGAATTAGTCATTAGAATTGATCTTCATCGTAACGAAGGTAGTGATTTCTCATTTCTCTTCAAACAGCGCGCAATTCACAGAAAGTCAAAGGCAAATCAAGAAATCAAGCAAAAGCACTGGCTGGACTATGCCAACGACAAATACGATTCCAAATTCATCAACGATTTAAAAAAAACTTCGCGAACTCTGAAGCTGTTCATAGCTTTCCCTTTTTTCTGGGCTCTTTCATCGCAAGTAGGATCCCGTTGGACCTTCCAAGCTACAAGAATGAACGGGGAAATTGGCAGTTTCCTCCTGAAGGCTGATCAAATACAAGTAGTCGAACCAATCTTTGCCATCATTTTAGTTCCTGCACTCAGTACCTTCGTTTACCCGGTAATGGCAAAGATCAAATGCCTTCACACGCCATTGCAAAAATTAACAACCGGTGGAATTCTAGGTGCAGTTGCATTTATTTTTGCCGCGCTTGTGGAACTGCGATTAGAGGTACCAATACTCTTTCGAATGATCATTTTTCTTGAGATATCAATGAACATTTACCAACGAAATTGTCCTCTAGACGACGTATCCAGTTCTTCCAACCAACGGATCAGCACAGTTGCGAATTTTCAACCCTAGGGATTGCCAATTACCTGTTGTAATAGGTAATGAATCTATAGTGATGGAACCATTCGCTATGTGGGGAGGCAGTAATATCAATATCAAAGGCAATCAATCGATACCATACATTGCTGATTTTTCATGCTGCGGTGGAGATAAAAACGTAAATGGATTCATTACGGCTGTAGAGGGACAGGCGACTTCATATGTACTGGAGTCAACATCCCCATACGCCTATAAGGACTACATTAACAAAACGAAGAGTGGGAATCCCGCAATTCGAGTGTTGACGTACAATGTCCGGAACCCGAACACCTCAACAAAGGTTGAATTATCAGGAGTGAATTACGTTTTTGAAAGTGCGTCAGATCTTGAACGAGTAACACCAGTCGGAGAATTCATCCCAGGAGAATACAATGTCAAAGTTAATGGGAAAGATGTTGGTTCAATATCCATAAAACTTGGTGGTGTTTATACTCTGCAAACGTTTGTCGGTGCGAATATGACAAAAATAGGTCTCTCAATAGTGACTCCACCAAATTCGGTGCACATTCTGTGGCTTCTTCCTCAATATGTTGCTATGACTTTGGCTGAAGTTGTATTCTCCACAACTGGATACGAATTTGCATTTACGCAAGCTCCAAGTACGATGAAATCGCTTCTTCAGGCTGTATGGTTGCTCACCATAGCTGGGGGTAATCTTATCGTTGTGATAATTACTAAAGCGGGGATTTTCAAGCGACAGGTGAGCAGAGTCTTACTTCTCGCAAGCTGATCAGTTGGAGTATTCGGACATGAAATCATTCAAATTATTCATTTCCAGGCATTGGAGTTCTCTTTTTTCGCTGGTTCGACCGCTCTCATCTTCGTGATATTTGCGGTAATGACGAAGTCTTACGAATATCATAATTACAGTGACGATGAAATTTCGGGAGATGAAGATAAAAAGATACCACGTACAGGGAAAAATAGTGAAGCGCGGTCTTGTTCACGTAATGAAGAGAGTTTGGAATTGTAGATTCTTAATCATGACAATCCTCCCATTTAATAAAATTTTTTCTTTTTTCGCGCGAAACTGCGTTATCATCTGAGCTGATAATATCGCTTCATGCTAAACAGAAAAATTTCCATAAGAGCCCAGATCCTTAGAAATTTATATTTGCAGAGTCTTCACTTTATTTTCCCTATTATTTATCATTCGATTTTCAAATGGTCCGCACGTCCAAATTATTCGGAGAATCTCACCTCTGGCAGTTTCATTGGATTGTACATTATAAATGGTCGGTTCTGATATCTGTATTTTGAAATTCGTCGAATAATAGACAAGAAATTTGACTTATTTCGTTAAAGTTTCCGGTGATAATTGAATCTGTATTTTTTTATTCCTCATATCAACGTGAAAATCGTTCAGGACATAGATAATGACTTCAATATCAAGTGTATAAAATCCCAGAGGTCTCAGTCAATTATTTGACTGACAAATGACCCTTCGAAAATTCGTCGGTGAATTAAGGGAGTACCGTTTCCTCTTAAGACGCAACGGAACTTACCATCGGAGTAGAAACTGGATTCCAAATTTTTTCGTCGTCAGACAACTATTTAGTGAAACCCAAATCGTTACATCATCAATAATCTTGGTATCTACAGTGTAAAAATTTGGGTTTCGATAAATTGTCGTCTGACGACGAATAAACTTGGAATCCAGTTTCTACTCCGATGGTAAGTTCCATTGCCTCTTAAACATTTTACCGTGAGATCCGCCGTACGGTTGGTTCGGTAGGACTCAAGGTCGATACAATCTCGATTGTAGATCACTAATTACCGACTAATGAGAATGAGCTGACAAATTATTTTCTTTGTTAACCTCTGATAGTAATAACTTCAAGTGCGGACCTTCTCCACGTGGCCGACTTATGAATACAAGAATTGACCGAAAATCAATGGAAGAAAGCGAATCTTATTCCCAAAATTGATGAATGAATGATCCCAAATTTATGTTTATAGAATCGCAATTCAAATGGGGATCCGAATTCACCCTGAATTTGATGTTGACCCCTCACCTCTATAAATAATGATAAACTTCTCGAAAAAATGAAGAAGTACTCATGCAGTAACTCGCGTAATCGGATGAGTCCTATTTACTAAAGATGAAAGAAACGTGAAGTTGTTTTATATCGAAATATCTCGAAACTGCCTGACAGCTAATCCGCAATTTTGATTGGTCAATGAGTCACGTGAAGTAGTCGCTGAAAAAAATCCCCGGTATTTTCAAATTCTTGAAATGGAAAAAAAAATTTCTGCGTCATATTTTTCATTTTTTCATGTGCGAAGTTTATCTTTATATCAAAACATATCTAAATTGCCTAATTGTTGATCATGAGAAAATAAACATAGTATTTCTAAATTTTTTTAACGCACAAATTATTCTTCACTTCCCAAATTTTAATTTTTTCATATTTATCATACGCAAAAATGATCAATTCTTGCTTCTCAAATTTTCATACATAAATCCTAAATTCTACAGAATTCATGAAAATTCTTCGGTTTCCAAAATAATTCGAGAATAATCTTTGAAGAGCTACTGTTATCTGGAACACTGTGGAATTTTCCGAAGAATTCAAGAAATTTTTTCAGTTTTCTGACAAAACAATTCATGACCCTCCCCTAATTTTTCAACAATTACAGATTTTAATCAGATTATTTTTAAAAGTAAAAAAAATGAATTAATCGAAGATTAAAAATTATTCATTGATGCTTCACTCTTCATTCTGTTTATTCTCTTAATTCTCATTAAATCATTATCAATATTTATAAAACATCTATGAGTATATAAAGTTTAATAAATTCGATTTCTTCATTTTCACAACAAAAAGATAAGCGCGCGCGACAGCGCGCGCACAGATCTAGTATTATTAATAGACAAATAATTCCGCTCTCAAATCACATGCCAATGACCTTGCGCGAAAGAAGTAAAACAGAAAATGAAAATATCCCAGCAAGGTCTTACGATCGCGGAATGAATTTTGAATGCATCCATCTCGAAAGCTGGAAGAGTGCCAGATCTCTGACTCGGCGCAAAATTCATCACTTAATTTCCCTCTCGGGCAGACATTTTTCGGGGAATCAAACAAAAGTTATACTGTCTTTGCCACAGAGCCTAATAAAACAAATTGAATAAACAGGAATCGAAAAAAAAGGTTTTGAGAAAGTAGCACAATCCTGTCATTGTTCTCCCATCCCTTGGAGTTCATTCTCTTGGGTTTAGGCGGAGGAAAAAAGGTGGAGAGAATTTCAAGTGTTCGGAGATCACTGAATCTGGTCCTAATGAAAAAATTCATAATTCTCTTCTTGGGATTCGTGAACAAGTTTATGTGTTTGAATGGTGCTCATTATTTTCAGTGTTTACTGTTTGTAAAATGCGGCTGAATTTTCCGAAAGAAGACCTTGAATTTGATTTAAGGGAATAAGTTAATGGAATTTCAAGTGATCTGAAAAAAAATTGTTTTTCTATCGTCATGTCCGGCTGAGGCAACTCGCAATAAATTTAAGCGCGGCGTAAGCGTCATGTAAACAAATGTTGAACTTCATTGAAGGATTTAAAATCGATGAAGTAGCTAAATGAATAAAAAATGAGTTCTACTAAATGAGAATAACCATTCGGAAGCATTTTTCTAATTTATTAGCAAAAATAACTTCATCACATGATTATCCATAACTTTTGTTATTGAAAATGACGATAATCCGTATGTTTTTCATTCTATCATTCACAGAATATTCAACAGAAGGTGAAATCGTTCAGATATTGGCCCGAGTCCAGCTATTCCCCTGTTCACCCTATACAGATTGTTTGACAAAAATTTATTTGCAAATTATCTGTGACCATCATCTGCAGTTGAAAAATTTCTGCGTCACAACACCGTCATTTTTCGCAATAATGGCGCGCCTATTTTACTAAAGATGAAAGAAACGTGAAGTTGTTTTATATCGAAATATCTCGAAACTGCCTGACCGCTAATCCTTAATTCTAACTGGTCAATATGTGACACGAAGTTATTCACAAAAAAAAAACACGCGGCATTTTCACATTCTTCAGTGACATAATTTCAAATTCTTCAGTGGTAAATTTTTTTTTCACGTCATATATATATATTTCACATGTATATATATCATCGGTGAAATTAATAAATTCTGTCCTTTTATGGCGACCGATTATTTAAAAAAATTGAATACAATTAATTGAAAATGAAAAATTCTTTCTAGATTCTTTTACTCTACTTCGCTATTCACTTCAATCATGAATTCTCTTTGATTCATTATCAATATTTATAAGGTATTCATGAGAAAATGAAATTCAATGCATTCCACTTCTTCATTTCGACAAATGAATAGACCAGTGCGCGCGAGAGCGCGCGCATAGATCTTGTCCTATTTTACTGAAGATGAAAGAAACGTGAAGTTCTTTAATATCGAAATATCTCGAAACTGCCTGACCGCTAATCCCTAATTCTGATTGGTCAATATGTGACGCGAAGTTATTCACAAAAAAAACACGCGGCATTTTCAAATTCTTCAGTGGTAAATTTTTTTTTCACGTCATATATATATATTTCACATGTATATATATCATCGGTGAAATTAATAAATTCTGTCCTTTTATGGCGACCGATTATTTAAAAAAATTGAATACAATTAATTGAAAATGAAAAATTCTTTCTAGATTCTTTTACTCTACTTCGCTATTCACTTCAATCATGAATTCTCTTTGATTCATTATCAATATTTATAAGGTATTCATGAGAAAATGAAATTCAATGCATTCCACTTCTTCATTTCGACAAATGAATAGACCAGTGCGCGCGAGAGCGCGCGCATAGATCTTGTCCTATTTTACTGAAGATGAAAGAAACGTGAAGTTCTTTAATATCGAAATATCTCGAAACTGCCTGACCGCTAATCCCTAATTCTGATTGGTCAATATGTGACGCGAAGTTATTCACAAAAAAAAACACGCGGCATTTTCAAATTCTTCAGTGGTAAATTTTTTTTTCACGTCATATATATCATCTCTGAAATTAATAAATTCTGTCCTTTTATGGAGACCGATTATTTATAAAAATTGAAGATAATGAATTGAAAATGAAAAATTCTTTCTAGATTCTTTTACTCTACTTCGCTCCTCACTTCAATCATTAGTCGAATTCTCTTTGATTCATTATCACTATTTAGGGGAGGGTGGGGTAAAATGGACACTGTAGACTTTTTTAAAATTATTCATAACTCAGAAACAAATAGATCAATTGAGCTCAGTTTAGGCTCGTCACAAAGGGAACGAATTGTTTTTTGTATTGGAAAAAAAAATTATTAAATTTTATCAACATTTCAACCCCTCATTAACATTTAAAAAAAGTCAAAAGTGTCCATTTTACCCCAACTTCCCCTATAAGGTATTCATAAGAAAATGAAATTCAATGAATTCCACTTCTTCATTTCAACAAATGAACAGATAAGCGCGCGCGAAAGCGCGCGCATCCATCTAATTTTCAAAAAATGATGATTTTCATCTCTAGATCACCGAAATAACCCGAGCGCTCAACAGGTGGCGACATGCACTCCTCTCTCTCTCGTCAGCTCCCCGCTAACATTTACCTGAGTTCCCCGAGTTCTGTGCAAGCCTTACCTTCCAGAATCCAGAGCTCGCCGTCCTCTCCCCTCTCGCCGCGCTCTCAATAAGTCCCGACATAATTTTTTTCCCTCCTCCGCGGCTTCCTCGTCGACGAAGGGGGACTCATCCGGCGCTTGCCGGCCGAACGGCCCCTACCTCAGCCCCGCGAACATGCACGAAGCCACCGGAGTACTCTCGAAACATTCCTGTGTGCCCCAACGTAAAAGAAAAGGACAAAAAAAGCCCGAGTGGAGCCCCACTACGTCGAAACCACTCTGCTCCTACGTGGACAGTACGAAAATCGGTGCGACACGGATTACAACTGCTGTCGCTGATACGCTTTATCGTTTTAGTCATTGTTCTGCCCTAGTTTAATCTTGTTTAATATTAAGCGAGTGATTACTAAACGCAGTGCACGCAATTCAAGGAGTTAATTGTTGGAATTAAAGTGAGTATTGACGTGTTTTGGCATTATTTTTTCACTTGTAATATTTGAGCAGTCGTTTTTCACGGTTTTCGAGGACGAATTCACTGTGACAGATCTCTCTCACTCGGTTGACTCATTGTCCATCGATTCTGGTGAGTTTTCGATTCGAAAATGGATGATTCGAGGCCTCGAAATGGTTGACGATTCAACTTTTTCCTTATTTTGGAATTTTTTAGGTTGAGGTGAGAGACCTTATCCTTGATTTCGAGTGTCCCATTACGCCCACTCGCCTTACTTGCATTGTTTGGAGTGCGTGGGGCACGCGTGATTGATGCACGCGTAGAATAATATTCTAGAGGTGAAATAAAATTCAGGAGTGAAGTGGTACAAGTGGTAACAAGTCGATTTTGACTAGTGCCCAGTTTTCAATGAATATCTCAAAATCTGAGGGAAATAGCAAAATTTTTGTCATAACCTTTTTTGTAGAGGAAATTGAGAGCTACAAAAAAGGAAATTACAACAATTTCGCTATTTCCCTTAGATTCCGAGATATTTATTGAAAACTGTCCAATAGTCAAACCAGTTCGCTATTGAATTATACAATTCCTACAGGCGTTTTTTGTTGTGTTAAAATATAAAACTTGACGAACTTTTTTTTTCTAGCAAGGGAGATTGGGGTAAAACGGACACTTGACTTTTTTGACTTTTTTTTTAATGTTAATGAGGGCTTGAAATGTTGATAAAATTTAATCATTTTTTTTTTCAATACAAAAAACAACTCTTTCCCTTTGTGACGAGCCTGAACTGAGCTCAGTTGATCAATTTGTTTCTGAGTTATGAATAATTTTTAAAAAGTCTAAAGTGTCCGTTTTACCCCACCCTCCCCTGGAGGGTACAAAAAATAAAATTACAACAATTTCGCTATTTCCCTTAGATTCCGAGATATTTATTGAAAACTGTCCAATAGTCAGCCACCCTCCCCTGGAGGGTGGGGTAAAACGGACACTTTAGACTTTCAGTAATTCCAACTAGAATTGGAAATTTATTTAGAATTTATTTCAGATTTTCACCTTCAGAATTTAAGTTATGTACATACTACTTTAAGAGGAGACTTCTATGAGTTTTAAAAGTCGTGGGTTATTGGAGTGAGACTTTTCAAATGTTGAAGATCGATTATATAGATCTGAAAACGAATAATTAGTGCAAAAAAATTTTTTTTTATTGTTCGTTTGCCCGAAAACGCTTAAAATGCTAAAAACAGTCCAGGGCCTCCAATTTTGGAGCTAAAAAAGATTTTTTATTTCAAAATTTTCGGAAAAATGTGTGGAACAACAATTACGAGCCATTTTTTGTAATTCGACTGCTACACAGCAGATTTCGCTTTTTTTCACGTGAAAAAATTCACTATTTGTGTAAAAAAATACAAAAAAAGCAAATTTAAAAGAAAACTAGCTCGTATTTGTTATTCCACATATTTTTCCAAAAATTTTGAAAAAAAAATCCTTCGTAGCTCAAAAATTGGAGGCCCTGGACTGTTTTTGGGATTTTAAGCGTTTTCGGGCAAACGAATAATAAAAAAAAAATTTGCACTAATTATTCGTTTTCAGATCTATATAATCGATCTTCAGTGTATGAAAAGTCTCACTCCAATAACCCACGACTTTTAACTCATCCATTCGAAAGCAGAAATAGCCAAAGTACTTCGCTATCCGAAATGAAAAGATTGCAATTGGAATTATCGATTTATTAGGAAATAGTCCAGTGCCTGATGCAGCTGTGAGATGCGTCAATGCAAACAGGTGTTCCTGCTGTCTCTATCCAAATACATTTCATTACTCTTTCTTTATCATTTTTCACATGTGACATCGAGGTCACGCGGGCCTTTAATATTTCCCCTCTCCTCGTCGCGGAGGAAAAAGGGGAATTCCATGTTCGTTCGCTCCAACGCTTCTACTCCCAAAGTGAATGTGAAATGATGAGTGGAAAATTCGTATCGGCGTGAGAATAATGACGACGGATTGATATTAATTCGCGGGGATGAGAATTGTGAGTGGTGTGGAACTATTTTTACACATTGGTGGTCCAATGCAAACTGTTGGATGGAAAACGCAACGTTGCAACGTGTTGCTCCGCGGGCGTTTAACAGAGTACGATGCATCGTGACCGCGTGCGTTGGAGAGTGCATTCGAGAAACGTCTCTTGCAGGTGTGTACGCTTCACGCCAAGTTTACTATTGTTGGGGTGATCTAAGGGCATTCACTCAATCGTTCTCCCTTTTTTCTGGAATTTTTATGGGTTTTTGCTTGCGAATGGAAGCTTTGTAATCGAGGAAGCTGAAACTAGCGAAAGATTCACCAACGGAATTCGCGATTTAACCCTAGACTCGTCACCATGCGAGGGAATTGCCGCAACGCGTCGTTTTATTCACCTTACCATCGACTGGTTGACCGGAAAAATTTGAGAAAAATTGAATTCGTCAATTGAAGTATCTGGAAAATTCTAGTATTTTTTTTTCAATATTGTATCCTTAATTCTGGGAGAAAAAAAATTATTTCCAACAGGTGAACAATTTTCTCCCGTGTTAAATGAAATTGCCTGTTGCGCGACGTTGCTGGGAACTCGCTAAACGCGCCCCGGAAGTGTAGAGTGGATTCGGCAACGCTGGAGCCTAAATCACACGGCGGCACTCTCCCGCGAAGGTGACTCAAGTCGCATTTTCCCGTCAGGCGACCAGACTAGGGTTAAAGTAGCTCTACCCTTCGGCCGGGCTACGCTGTACTTTTGAATATTTTCAGTTTTTCAATTTTTCAACTAAATTGCGTGGAACAAATTTGAACNAATGAAATTGCCTGTTGCGCGACGTTGCTGGGAACTCGCTAAACGCGCCCCGGAAGTGTAGAGTGGATTCGGCAACGCTGGAGCCTAAATCACACGGCGGCACTCTCCCGCGAAGGTGACTCAAGTCGCATTTTCCCGTCAGGCGACCAGACTAGGGTTAAAGTAGCTCTACCCTTCGGCCGGGCTACGCTGTACTTTTGAATATTTTCAGTTTTTCAATTTTTCAACTAAATTGCGTGGAACAAATTTGAACAAATTCATACCCAGTCGGTATTATCTAAATTAAATTTCGCAAAATATTGATATTTTTTCAAACATTTCCCTCTTATAAATAAATAATAAAACTTGTTTGCAAAACGGTGGATTATTTTTTATAAGGTGTCAACAAAATTCTTGATTTTTTCACATCTAATCAACAAAAATTCAGATTTTAATCTTTGATTACAATGGAAATGTTAATTTTCATATAAGACACTGGGTTAAATCCTGATTTTTAAACATTTCTTCTTTAAAAAACCAAAACGATAATTAAATTGAGAAAAAAATTAGAATTCCGAATCTAATCGAATTTTCTGCAATTTTTTTTACAATTTTCAATAATCTTTGAATTTACCCTGAGGGTAGAGCCACTTTAAGCACATCTAGAGGTGTACAAATATTCTTAAATCATGTACAAACTTTTTCGCACTTGAATAACAGTTGCACGTGCGATTATTTGACTCTCACCTTTAAAAATCACCTAAATTGAATCTTGCGCTGACGAATATTCCGCTAGTTTCAGGTTCATTTGTAATCGTTCAAATTTAAGTTTCCAGATTTTTGTGTTTGGGGAACTAAATGGGGTTTTTAGATGATGGTTTTTTAATTTTTTTTCTTTTTCGAAATTTTCTGAAAAGGAATCAATCGAATTTTATGAATTTTTTAATGAACTAGCTTGACGTCCTTTTATTATGCCTTTTTTCCTGTTAGACTCGACACTTCTTTTTGAATTCATCGTTTGTAGTCATTTTCATTGCAGAAAGCAATGCGAACGATTAGAATCATATTACAATAAATGATTTGCTCACTGAATAAGATTTTAATCATAATTACAATTGAATTCTGTTATCAATTTTTAGTTAGTTCCCACGGTAATTCAATTAATCTGTGGTTCATCTCATCAATATAATTCCGTGCTCAGAATATTGTCATCTCGTGTATTCAGCACCAAATTAAAAATTAAAACTTCATTTTGAATATTGAGTCACAGCTTCTTTTTATTCATATCAGAAATTTTGTATTTGTATATTAATACTATTTGTTCAAAGTGAAAAAATCGATCATCATTTTCACTAAATTGCATTCAGATTCTCCTATCCTTAACGTCAAAAATGTGAGATAATCTCATAATTCTAGTTATTAATTCTGATCAACTTTGTTCGAAGAAAACCTCAGTAAACGCGATATTAAGAAAGTAGAATTATTCTATTTTCCTCTGACCTAATTGATTTGGACAATTATGATTCGTTTATTCACGTTTCGTAGAATGGTATTCAATTCTCTTTTGCTTGTTAGGCGGGCTTCATGAAAATTCGACGCAAGACGATTGGACTCATGAGAACCGCCTTACTTTCTCCACTCGTTCGAGATATCCGGCGTGTTGGACTTCTCACTTTCGATTCGAGATACTACTCATGCTTTTTTGTAGAAAGGATATAGACTTCAATAAGCTCTGTCTATTGAGACCAATTGAAATTCAATTCCAGAGATCGGAACAATCATGTAAATTTCATGACACGCAAAAATTTAAATGACAATTCAATTGATGACAGTACTATGACACGAAAAAACAGAAAAGAATAGTTAGATAAGAATTTTAAAAAAAGGTAAATGCATTCATTCGTCATCCCATCTATAAAAACTGCAATTATTTACTTGTTGAAACTGCGAGAAGAATAAGAAATTGATATTGTTGAAGAAGTTGATGTTTTTGCGTTAACGCAAAAAATCCTGTCAATTATCGTTCTGAATCAATTTGCCGTAGCCCGAAGTCAAAGATTATGAATTCTTCAATTAACTTTATCACTTCATTCAGTTATCGGTTAATTGAGGTCAATTTGAAAGAGACCTTGGTGATTCTTCAACACTGAATATCGAAATAATAAAGCAATTGTCCATCGACAACTAAACTGCATATCTTTTCC